AAAAAAAAAAGCAATTGGGCAGGAAGTGAGAGTTACCGGCGGTGACAAATCGGCGATTGTACTGCATACGCTTGTGGGCGCGGCCGCGCGGCTTCTTCTTCTTGTCCTGCTTCGCCACCTTCGGCGTCTGCCCTCTCACCTTACCGGCACGAGCCAACGATCCGTGTACCTTACCTGCACAATTTTATATTCCTCAATTTAGAACCAATATCTGATGGAAAATTAAATTTAACCACTGACTAACACACACACACACACACACACACACACAAAAATCGTGAATGAAAATGTTACCCATGTTTGATCGGCTTCGCTGCGTGAGATGCTACTTTAGAGGTTTTTTCTGCTACCGATGGTGGGATTGGGAATTGCTTTGATTGAGAACCGCTTTTTAGGGTTAAGTGTGTGTGTCTGTGTGTGTGTGTTTTTTTCTCTTTACTGAGTGGGATGGGCTTCTGAGTTAGTGATTCATTGGGCTCCAGTCACTTGTACTGTAGTTATTTTTCGAGCTTCGGCCCATTTATAACCGCTTAATATAGTAAACACTAAACAATGTCATTAATTTCCTCCTCCATTTTACCAATATTTAATTTAATAGGGGTACAAACAAAACAAATTGGTCCCGAGCTAAATATCCGGGGGTGATTGTAATATATAATTAAAACAACACAAAGTACAAAAAGAAAGGAACCAACAGCTGAATAGTACAACCAATGGCCTAAATCTGGGAGGACTTCCAAAGATCGCCTAAATCCTAAACTAGCAATGCGAGAAAAGCAACCCAAATGACTACACTACAACAGACAAAATAATAAAACTACGAAAAGATTCAAACGGAATAATGCACGAGTGTAGGATCCCAACAGAATAATAAGTTCACATTCGGGCTCACACGACCAACGGCACAAAGCAGAAAACACGGGACAATGGACAAGGACACACAGGCAAAGAGCCCAAACCAAAACACAAATCTACTATAGAACGAGACAAAAAAGAAAAGAAAAAACACAAGCTAAAAAAGAAACCCTTCCACAACAAATCAGCCAGTCCTAACCAACGGAGAACAATTTTTTTTTAATAATTATTATTATTTGTTTAATTCAATTATTGCTTGAATTGGATAAAGAATGAGACTTGTTTCATTCTGATTGGCCACCTTAATTTTAATGTGATAAGATAAGATAACTCAATTATTGAGCTTATTATATATTAAAAAATAATATCAAAATTTGTATTTTTTTATTCTCTATAAATAGAGACCATTCTTGATATGTTTTAGATCACAATTGAAATTTCTCTCTTTTCACCCTTTTCTTAATCATACTTTATTAATTTTATCATCTCTTTTATTTTTCATAATTTCCTACAAATACCATATGAATCCAAATTTGTCGAACTCTAAAAATTTTAAGAATTTCGAAAATTATTCACAAGAGTCATTTTCTCCTAACCCGATTTTCAGTTTCTATAAATGTCGAACCTCAAAACATCTCCTGAAATCTATTTTAAATGTGCAACAGACACACACAAATCCTCAAAAAGGAACGAAATGTTAGTTGGAGTGTGGCAGAAGAACTTGCTCTAATGTCAGCTTGGTGTTTCGTTAGCGAAAACAAAATGTGTGGCAAAAATTAAAAGGGTTCTTCATTATGCACACATAACTCAAATGTTTGAGCAAGCTCGATTGGATAATCCAGAAGAAATTGGTGAAAGAAACTTGGATTCAATGAAAGGTCGTTTATAAACGCCTTAATGAAAATGTAAACAAGTGGAGAGGTACTTACATGGAAGCATACAGAAATAAAATGAGCGGAATGAGCATGAAAGATGTTGAAAAGAAGCTCATATAATTTATGAAGTTGGTGGTAGCAAGTTTATAGACTTGCATGTGTTTAAAGAAGTCATGCGAAAGCATCCAAATGAGAATTAAAATTAGATCGTGATTCAACTCGTTCACTCCCTCAAGATGAAGCGAGTAATGAAGAAGAGCTACAGTAAATATCAAGGACTACTGAAGATGGAGATTATTCAATTCCCTCAAACCCAGAAACTCTAGTTAGTGATGGTTTTGTGATTCCCCATCTCGAAGGTAGAGATATGGTGGAAAAGAAAGGTAAAAATGTAACATCACAATTTTCTTCCATTCTTGATAAGTTCACTGCAGAAATTTGTGCACTAAGACATACAAGAAAGAACGAATGTGATTTATTGACCAAAATATCGAACGAGAGAATGGAGTTGGAACGCAAGAAAAAAGAAAAGAAGATTAGGAAAATGAATATGATGGTGTTGAATACGTTGTTGGCAAAAGACCACTTATCGTCGGTAGATAAAGAGATCAAACGTCATTTAACAACAATTTTATTTGGAAAGTCGATGTAATTTATTATCATGCAATTTTTTTTTTCAAATTATCATGCAACTTTCATTTATGTCATTTTAGTTATTCTGATGTAAGCTTTTCAATTCTTGTAATCCAAGTTATTCAATAAAAGTCTATTTAGTAAGTATTTTATCTAATCTTTTTCACAAATCACATGTTACTTCCAAGAGCTATTTGGAATATAGTGTATGAGTTATTACTATCAAATAACAACTTTATTTTGTCTTCCAAAATTCACATGCATTGAATTCAGATCAAAATTATATTTTACTATCAAATAGCAACTTTATTCAATAAAATTCACATTCATTGAATTCAAATGCAGCTTATATTTATTTTACTTTACTTTTGCTTTTACTTTACTTTTCTTTATATTTACTTGACTTTACTTTTCTTTTACATTTACTTTAAATTTATTTTAAGTTAAATCTACATCAAACTCTTCATACCACATTCCTATATAATATGGTTGAATTCAGATCAAATTAATATCAAAATCATCTCATATCCATTTTATTTATATCGATTATAACTTTGTTTTTCGTAAGACAATTCGTTCTTATGAATCGTATCGCGCTCCTCTTCCCCCCAAAAATCCGAAACCCTAGCATTCCTCTCTTCTGAATCGCGCAGCCTTCCTCGGTTGCGGTGCAGCACCGACCGGTGGTCGCGCTCGATCGTCATCCCTCCTCTGCTGTCCCGGACCTTCGGTGTTGCCGCAGAGTGCCTGTGAATGTTGGTCCAGCCCTTGTTCGCCAGCGAAGTTGAGATTGGAGGAGGCGAGCTCTTTGGTCGTCGACCGGTTGGCAATTGGTGGATTCGTTGCTCGCCGGTCTCGATTGGAGGTGAGTCTTCCTCCATTTTCTGCTACTGTTTTTTCTGATTCTTTGTGCGAATTGAGGGCCCCGCGGGCGGTTCCGTTTTTCCAGCAAAACTCCACCCAGGGTTTTCTTGTCCTGGTGCCGGTGGTCAGCGGTGATATTGGCTGGTTTGTGGGTCTCGAGGCGGAATGGGCTCTGATGGTGTGTCCGAGTAGAGGGCCCGAGCCGCCCCCTGTCTCGGCTAGTGGTGTTAGGCATGCTCCGGCAGTGCAAGAGTGGGTGTGGGTTCGGTTGTCCCTCCGGCTGATGCAGGTCGTTTCGGAGATTGGTTTGTGTTCGGGCTCGACTTTTTGTATTGGCCTTGTGGCAATTTCGAAAATCGTCCCTTGAACTTGGATTATTCTTTGATTTTCTTAAAAAAAAAAAAAAAAAGTCTCGATCACAATATGACCTGGTCGCATAATTTCATGCCTTTTGCTTTTTTTCTTAGTTTGTTTATTTATTTATTTATTTATTTTATTTTTATTTTTTTTGTCTTTTCCTTATGACCCAACCTAATGTAGGAACGACTCTGCATGTGCAATCACCCAAGAGTGGCAAACCCAACACCTTTTTCTCAGAAAACTTTGAAGAAAAATGGCATAAACAAGTACAAAATATGAAAATACTACACGAAGTTGTTGACAATCAACACCCACATAAATAAACATACACCAGATTTTTCAAGAATTGCCAAACTACCCCTACTTAGGTTCACCATGTCCAATTTGAGAAGACTTAACAAAAATTTCACTAAAAATTAACTTCAATGCAGACAAACCTAACACCATGTAAGAGCTTTTTGTTCTTTTTGTTACATACATAAATGTGTTGATGAGGCTCAGGCAGAAGGGGAGGAGTTGGTTGATTCGGATTGGGCTCTTTTCTTGGCGAAGTATTCTTCGGCCCGAGCCACGTTCTTGGCCACAGATGGCTTGACCCATTTCTTTCGGCCCGGAACAACAGTCATCGAGCAGCCCGCTGCCTCCAGCTTCTCTTTTGCCGAGGCTGAGAAAGCCCGTGCCTTGATATTGAGTTTCACACTCAATTGTCCATCACCTAATATCTGGAAACAAAAAACAATTCCCAAGCTTAAATTCAGAACTAAACGTCATTTTCTAATGAATCAGAACTGGATTCTTTTTTATTTGTGGAATCCTATAAAGGATATATAAACGCAGTTGAATAATAAAATGAGCAAAACAAGGGAAAAAAATAAAAAAAAAAAAAGAGAAAGAAAGAGGCCACTGAAGCTATCACACACTAATCGTCTCACTGTGGATCGAAGATAAGTTATTTGAGACAACCTTACCCGTTTTCTGACTTCATTCAAGTAAAGAAGAAATAAGTACACAGGATTTAACAATACATTATTTTACCAAGTTCTTTAAAAAAAAGAAACCAATCGCACATAATTCTGTGTTGTAAAACTGAACAGATATCTGTAATTTAAATTAAACCCAATATCGAATAACATAAGGAGTAATCCAAGACAACAATACTTTCCAAATACTACACATTATTCCCATTGATGCTAACACTGAAAAAAAATATAAGAAAATATAGACCACTCGGCAAAAATTGGACACAAAATTAAATGTTCCCGGCCGCCGGTAGTACATAACAGGATCAGTTTAGTTCAATGAGAAAAATGACATGGATTTCAAGATTTAGCAGACCAACCAACCAAGATATTATGAAATTTGTCCTCTTACAAATAATGCGAGTAATTAGTTACCTTAAGAGGGAGCTTCCTTTCCCTTCCAGATGGATTGATGAGACCTTTCATCTTCAAAGACTCCAAGGAAACCTCTTCTCCTTCTTCAAAGTCTGCTAGTTCTAAATCCCCCAAGTTCACAGCCACATACTTTGGTAATCCAGCACGCATGCCTTCAACCACAAAAGAATATATATTCATAACAGTCTCACTCAAGTGTAGTCAGTAGTTCGTACACATACTGAAAGTATAATCCATTTTAAACATGCTTCCTATAAAATATGCTAGATATGTTATGAATGCCCGAGGGAGGATACCCAACACAAACCCCAATGAGAATTTATAATTTCCAATTCATCTTATTTTTTATTCTAATGTCGGGAAGTCTCATAAAGCCATAAATAGTTATTTCAAATATATCAAATTTCTCCAACAAAAAATTTATTTAAAGTACATCTACAGTTGGGAACTTCTACAAAATACAATATGGTGGACATGCAGAATCTTCAACATAGCACATCAGATTTTTCATGAAGACCAAAAATTAAGTCTCTAAAATTTAAGCTCAGTATTAAACCAGCAATTGAAAGAAAAACTGTACTGTGTCTGATCAATAAGGCCGTGTGCTAACTACCTTGTTTACTCTAATGCTCTTAGCAACATTGTACAGAACATGAAACTGACAATACAAAGGAATTTTCTCGGTAATAATGTCTTAATGTGGAATAAGCACACATAAGGTATCTCCCGAAAGCGGGACATAGAGCTCATTTGGAAAGTGGAAACTTGCTAGCAGAACCTAAAACTCAACTCAACCCGATATAAGAAATTTTGGGTGGAATTCTCTAAAGGATGAGACTGGGTTTATCATTGCTTATATTGGATTACAAAAAACTAGATCTGATCAATGGTCATAAGAAATTCACGGTTAACTCATTCCTCATCTTATATACATCAATCCATAATAACTACTACTAATAGGTGTATATCCTGGAATAAAATTGAGTCAATCTTCTAACTTCTCTAATACAACTTAAGACCAGTAGAAATCGAGAATCACAAGCCGGCAGTGTTCGAAAATAGAAGCTGAAAATTGATGATATGACAACAAGCAAGCAATTTGGGGAGTCTTCTACTGCTAGAATCACTTGGATCAAATTTTCTTTTTCTGTCAACCTAAAGCCCCCATTAGAAACCACCACCAAGAAAAATCCACCAACATTGCCCTCAAAATATCACAATTCCCCACAAAATAAAACTGCCTTACCTCCCGCAATCCCTCTCAATTTGGGGATTCTTCTGTAGAGGGGCATCTGCCCACCCTCGAACCCCTTCCGGACGCCGGGGCCCGACCGGGACTTCTGGCCCCTCATCCCAAAGCCGCAGCTGCCGCCCTGCCCGGCCGAGTGCCCCCGACCCTTTCGCTTCCGATTCTTGCGGGAACCCGGCTGCGGGCCCAGGTTGTTCAGCCGGAACCGGACATTCCCGGTGCTCCCGGAAAATTCCTGCACGGAGGAGGCAGCCGAACAGACGAGCGAGAGCGATTTAGTTCGGTTGGATTTAGGGTCGCAGAGCTTTATGGAGGTGAATTGGGATGAATTGGCCTTCAAAGTGCTCACATTGCCCTGTTAGAAATGAAAAAAGATACTGGAAAATCTTGGTGTGAATTGTCAATTGAGACTGTAATAATTTAAAAAAAGAAAAATACCTTAAAAGGAGAAGAAAGGCGGAGGAGATGAGGTGCAGTGGTGGAGGAGAGGGAAACGGAGAGTAGTGAAGAAGCCATGGATAGAGGATAACGATAAGAGTGAGTGCTCGATTTTATTTATTATTTCGCGAATTTAACGGATGTGGCGGGTTTATATTGTTGGGAGATTATACAGTCCCATTACCGAACCATTCTGTCTGGATTTGTAACCGTTAAATTAATTATCCACGACGGTTACATGATGATTCCGTAACGAGACTGTAGCACTTCCCTATATTTTTATTTTGATTCTCGTTTTTATGTTTTTATTTTTACCCTTTTTTAATCTTTACTAATATTTTGTCTTTTACTTTTACTTTTTTTTCCGAAACAACAGAGATAACTATATTAAAACGAATAGCGAACATAGTTCAAATACAGTGCAGTCCCAACTAATAGAAAAAGAAAAATGAGAGGCACGCATCAAAGGGCCTAGAACCTCAACAAAAAAACTAAATAACCACTACAAAAAAAATCAAAGAGTTGAGCCCCCATCACTACTACAAAGCCTAGTAAGGGACTCAACTCAACCAAGATAACAAGAAAAGCAAAACAAACTAACAAGAAGAAGCTGCAAAAGAGAAGTCCATCCAGTCTGCTAGAGCCATTTGAGAGAGTTTGTGTTCTGGGATTAGTGTGTTTTGGAAGATCCACATGTTCCTCGACTTCCAAAGCCATCAAAGTATGTATGTGGTGTGATTTGAATTCGATCTTCGGCCACTTCAGAATGGTCAAGGGAACAAACATTATACCACCAAGCTCTAAAGGAATCTGTGAAGCCCAGCAATCCATCTCAACATAGAGGGCTTAGTTTCCATACTCTGACAGTTCTATGACATGAGAAGAGGATATGTTCAGTGGTCTCAGCTGTTTCCCTGCAGATGGTACAAGTAGTATCAATCTCCACCCCTCTTTTCTTTAAATGAACTGCAACCGGGAGTGTGCCTGAAATGCACTTCCAAACAAAGTGTGTAACTTCGTTTGTTTTCTTCAATTTCCAATATCTGAACTTGATAGACTTCCGACTGCCATGCTTGAGCTGCATTCAGGAATATCTGAGGACAAGACCTTAAGCCTGCAAAGATGATCATATGTACCAGAAACAGAGAAGAGGCCTTGTTGTTCTAAACCTCAGTAAAACCTGTCTTTTCTGTTGGGGTGAAGAGTTGATATTCTAAGAATAGCTTGACTGTCTTGCTCATCAAAAACCTGTTGGATCAGCCAATTGTTCCATTGTGAACCATTGTTATGCATGAGCTCTCTAACCCAAAGCAGATGATCTCTAGCAATAGGGATGAAAGTAGAAGATGGTTTGTTTAAACTTGGAACCCAATTGAAATCAGAAATTCTAGTGCTATCCCCATTTATGATTTCAATTCTAAGCCATTTAGCAAAAAAAAAA